CAAAACAAATACACACAACGTAATGTTAATATGCATAATTCCGACAACACTCTATCATGCTCAATTTGTTCAAATAATCATAAAATAGAAGGCTATCGCTATAAAGATAAACAAATTTGCCAAATATGCAATATACTTGGACACACGGATAGATTTTGCAAAGAATTTCCAAAAAACACCAATTAAGGTAAAACTCCGCTGAGGTAAATAGTTCACCTTTTAACTTAGCAAACAAAGCTGTAAATAATATCTCTCTAGATAAGAAAACATCATTAACTAATAGAAATGAGAATACTAACTTAAATTCACATGATCTTGCATAAAAAATGACCATAATAATGATCATACAATTCTTTATTTGAATATAAACTCTGTAACTAAACATTGTATAGATAAAGGAATAATAAAAGATTCTAATGTAACATTATAAATATATCATCTCACTTGTCAATCAATCAACAGAACCAAGTTACTAATCTTATTCCTCAATATACTCATTTATTTATTAATGACAATGCAAAAATTAAAGCAGAAAACGAGAAAAATTTAATAGAGAGCTTTATTTTTCCAAATTTAAGTATGTTTAATAGTTTAACACAAAAAATAGAGTTAAAAAAAATTATTAATGGAAGTATTGAAACAAAAGAATTATTTAACTTTGTAAAACTACCATTAATTGATAATAAAAGATTGTATTCAAAATGTTTAGTTATTTCAGACAAAAAAAAAACCCAGCACAGGGGGGTCGCGGCATAGTGGTGACGTGACATAGCTGGATCAAGTATAATAATATCTGACAGTGATTAAAATCACTATAAAAAAAAACGCTTCGATGCAAAGCTTTAGATAGTGTTTAATTTTAAAAAATTGGTGGATTATTCCAAAAGCTACACGATCTGCTAGTTCCTTATTAATATCTTGATTAAGATAAAGTATGTCGAATGAACAAGAGATTATTAAAAAATATTATTTCTCATAGAAAATTGGTGTTGATCCATACACTTTTCAATGAGTTATAGCATTATAAAGTTAAAAATGTAAATTATAAAATCAAGAATTTTTACACAAAACTAACATTCGGTAGCCGTTTTCACCGTGAAGACAAAATAAAGTCCGATTTTTTTTACCATAATAAAGTATATTACAATTTAAGATATATATAAAAGTGTCAGACCTTCCGGAACATTTTTAAAAGTTAAGTTAATTTTTTGTGAAAAAGTTGTCATTTTAAATCCCCCCTCTGTGGGCAGATAAAGGGTCAAATTTACAAAAAAAATATACCAAAAGATAGGTAAAAATATCAGTCATCTATAAAAAAAAAAAAAATTATATTGATATGTTCATTTTTGAAAAAGTTCTGGTAACAGAAATTTTTTTTTACCATTATAAAGTATATTACATTAGCTTTAATTTAAGATATATATAAAAGTGTCAGACCTTCCAGAACACTTTCAAAAGTTTATTTGAAAAATTTCTACTTTCTATATGCAATTTTTAGATTTAAACCCCCCTCGTATATAGGGAAATGATTCGATTTAAAAAANATTTAAACCCCCCTCGTATATAGGAAAATGGTCCGATTTAAAAAACAGTATGTCGAATGAAAGATCTATATAAATACTACTTCTCATAAAAAAATTGTAATGATTCATTCATTTTCAAAAAGTTATAGCATAATAAAGTTAAAAATGGAAAATACAAAATCGAATTTTCACACAAAAATAGCATTCGGTAGCCATTTTCACCATTAAGATAAGATAAAGTCCGAAATATTTTTTTTTCATGATAAAGCATATTACATTAGCTTTAATTTAAGATATATATAAAAGTGTCAGACCTTCCGGAACATTTTCAAAATTTAAGTTAAAAAAATTAATTTTTTGTGAAAAAGTTGTCATTTTAAATCCCCCCTTGTGGGCAGGTTAAGGGTTAAATTTATGAAAAAAATATACCAAATGAAAGGTAATGATATTATGCATCTATATAAAAAAGAATTATATTGATATGTT